GAATGACATCTCCCATCAAGGAAGCTTTGAGCCTCTGACAAGATGGCTAAGAAAGACACTCAGGTAATATCCTGAGCTGAAGTGGGAGAGGCTTCATTGGTTCCTGACACACCCACATGATTAGGGCTGAGTTCTTGAGGCCCCCTCACACACTACCTCTATGAAGCCTGTAAAACTCCTTGTCCCTTAGAATACTGAATTAAATATTTCATTTGAGAATTGTCATGAGGAAAGGACAATTCCTAAGAGTGTGTGTGTGTGTGTGTGTGTGTGTGTGTGTGTGTGTGTGTGTGTGTGTGTGGTTTTAGTTCTAACGATATGAGGATTTTGTTTAGTGGTTACTTTAATCACTGCTGTAATAGTGTGTGTGGCAGAAGCAAACAGACATAAGAAAGCTTGGTTTTGGCCCCAGTTTCAGAGGATTTCAGCCTGTTGTGGCAGAGAGAGGTGGCTTTGGTGCCAGAATCATTCCTACTGACCTACTTCAGTCAGATAAGCCCCACCTCCTAAAGACTCCACAGCCTTCAAAATCATGTCATACTTTCGGGGTGGAGCATTCAAAACTGAGAAATATTTCAGTTTGAAGCCATAACAGGTAATACATATGATGGGAGATGTCATTCTGTAAATATGTTTCTCTTATTGGTTAATGAATAAATCACTGTTGGCCAATAGAAAAGCAAGATAGGTGGGACTAGGAGACAAAGAGGATTCTGGAAGTAATAGGGAGGAGTCAGCATGTAGAGATTGGAGAGAGAACAGACGCCAGCCCCATTCTCCAGAATGAAGTGCTGTAGTTTTCTACAAACTCACAGGCATATTTTAGGGTATGCGATGTGAGGACTGGAGTGAAGCTCAGATTTCAGAGTGCTTGACTAAGATGCACAAAGCCATGGGTTTGACCCTCAATCTCAGACTTGGTGGCACACATCTGTAAATCTCAACACTCAGAGAACAGAGGCAGAAAAGAACACATTTTGGTATTTCAAATCCAGCTTGTAAACTAATCAAAATGATTGCCTGAACTTGATTCTCACACTCTGAAGATTATGGTTGCCATGGAATATCCCGTAGGCAGAAGTGCATAGATTAGGAAATTGACATCTAAGAAGGGGGAAGGAAAATGAGTGGATTTTGAGGGAACACAACCTATCCCTATTTTCATGCATGGAGCTTTATTGGATGGCTTATCAACAGAACTCTCCTGGCACATACCTGCATATATCAGAGAGGGGAAAGGCAATACAACCTCAAACACCAGTCACCACCATTGAAGCATGAAGGGCTGGAGTAAGATTGAAGGGGCATGTGTGTATACACAGCATGTGTTTAGAAAATGTATACACTGACAAATTATATATACATTCTCAGTCTATCTCCAATTTCCATTTTTCCTAATTAAAAAATTATAATGCAGTGATGTCCTGCTTATAGATGTAAACTTCAAATCTCTCTAAAATAATATGTACATGATTATATAAAAAAAATTCCTAAAAACTATGAGTTGATAACAATCAGATTCTTACAACAGATATCCTGTTAAGACATACCAGACTCTCTTCATGCAAAAGGACCAAAAAAGCCGACTTTAGGCAGCACTTTGTATGCTCTGATGTGACTATGTTTGCCTGGAGATGTTGTTATCAGATAGCGTCTATTTCTTCGAGTAAAGGCTGGAACTACATCATGACATACACTACTCCCCAAGTTGTTTATATTCCTCTCATTTCTGTACCCTCTGCAGTTTATGACATTAGGCATCTCTATCTGAGCATAATTGGGTTTACACATATTACAAATTATAAGGTTATAAAATAGCTCCTTAGTGGTGCTACTATTGCTAGTTAGCACCTTACCTAATGCAGCAAAGCAAAGGCTTCTTATAATACAGCATCTCTAACCCCACCCCAGAGTGTCTTCAGATCAGAGGGTGCTTAGTTATTTATCAGTGATAATTACTGCTTCTTCCTTTCCTTCCTTCCTTCCTTCCTTGTACCTGTCCTTGGTAATTTCCCAACAGATACCTAGACTCACACTCTATGCTCTGGAAAAAAAAAAATGTATGGTATGTGACATCAGCTTACAAACATCTCCATAGCAACAATTATTTCCTTCATCCCCAACCTAAAGTTTCTATCTGCAGTTGCCTGGGTGTATAAAAAAAAACCAGCGAACCTATGTCTATGTACATTGGTTTATAAGGTCAAACTCTTTGGTATTAATAAATCATCACTGAAATCAATACTAACAACATGCTTATATGAAGTAGGATTGCCTTAAGAATATGTTTTTTCATTCTTGATATGTTTAATGTGGGGAGTCGTTATTCAGAATGCTGCCTTACCAAGTATAGCAACATAAAACACATCAAGTTGCATAGATGAGGAAGCCCAACTCTTGATTTTGCCAAGTAGCAGGTGCTCTCAAGAGTCCTTAATGCTTGATAGCTATTTAGTAAAACGTGCACAGTGCCATCTAGTGGTCCATTGTCATGACAGCATAGTCTAAATCATTTTTCTGGAATTGAGACGGCAACAGCAAGCAACCCATAGGTACAACTGTTAGGCCTGAAACAGACTTCTTCCTGATGATTTCCTACTGAGTTCCACCTTAACGTTCCTTAGTGCTCCTACAGTGGAAAAAGACTGACAATACTTCTTTTTCAGTATTAGTTTAGAGCAGTTAAGAGCACTGGCTGCTTTTCCAATGGCCTGGGTTCAATCCCAGCACCCACATGGCTACTCACATTGACTATACTTTCAGTCCTAAAAGATCCAACACCCTCTTCTGGCCTCTGTGGTAGCAGGCACGCAACTGTACACAGACATACATGTAGGCAAAACACCCATAAACACTGAAAAATCAACAGCAGCCGGGAGTGGTGGCACAGGCCTTTCATCCCAGCACTCAGGAGACAGGTGGATCTCTGTGAGTTCAAGGCCAGCCTGGTACACAGAGCAAGTTCCAGGAAAGGCTCCAAAGGAAATTTTAAAATTAAAAATAAACAGCAATAACAAGAAAACTATAGAAGCACTGTGAGTAGGTAAACACTAAAAAGAAATGTCTAGTCAGAGGCACACATAAAAATGGACTGGATTCAGCTGGGCATAATGGCTTGAGCCTTCAATTCAAGCAGTCCTTGAGGTGGGTTGGTATATGGGTTTAGGGTAGCCTGGTCTACACAGTGAGTGTCCGGGACAGCGATAGCTGTCTCTGCACACCACTATGCCGTGTGTCATTTATTTGATCTCTAGCTACTGGTTTGCCTGTTCCTGCTTCTTGTCTACCTCTTGCCATATCTTTCTCCCATTCAATTCAGAAATAATGTTGTCAAGCTGGACCGCATCATGTAGCTCTCCTTAGAACCTGTGTCTTCATGCTTGGCACAAACATCCAATCCTGCTCATAGCTACAATGTGATCCCGTTGTGACCTTCTCCTCCTGACTCCATCACAGCTGCTGTGATTCTATTCTGTGCCTGGTGCTCTGAGTCTTACCATATGCTGTTAGTTTATGTTATCTGAATGACTCCGTGTCCTCACCAGAAACAGAACCTCATGTGAAGCAGGGACCACATTTTTTGCCGTACACCTTTGGGCCTCATAGTACCTTACTCCTAATTATAAACCCAGGTTTACTTAGGTCATTTGTAATTGTCTGTCCTTACAATTGGCTAGACCCAATGCTTTGCTTTTCAGAGTATTGATTGACTTTATTTGTAACAGCCACAACCTGGATCAACTCAAATACCCATCAACAGATGAGTCAGGAACCACACTGTGATGTTTCCATATTGGATAATAATACTCAGCAACAAAAAGACTGAAGTGCCAATACATGCCTAGTAAATATGACTCCTAGTTATGCTAAGTAGGTGAACAATGGAATTCTAGTTATTTAGAATTCAATAAATTTATAATAGAGAGCAAGAAGAGCAGTTGTCTGATTGCAAAGAATGGATTCCAGGGGCACACATGAACACTCTTAGTGGCAAGGACTACTGGGATGGTATAGTCACACTTTAGTTCAAAGAGAAAACTCTTCCTGAGTTTCAAAAGAAAGTAGCCAAGAATATAATTTTTGACCAGTTTGGTTAAGTAATATGTGACTTAGTCGTGCTGTTGTGTGGCCTTGTCCTTCTCTGCTTTCTTTCCTGACTTATCTCTTACTTCAACGTGTGTGTGTGTGTGTGTGTGTGTGTGTGTGTGTGTGTGTGTGTAAATATATTTACATGGCAATAATTCGTTTTAAATACTCAAAATGAATTCTGATCTCTTTGGGCACTTGGAGTTCCTGTTTTCTCTTCATTTCAAGCAGTCACTGTGTTCAGTGGGGAATTTTTTTTTTAAGTCTGATTGACTTAAATTTGACTACCAATTTTGTTTGTGAGTATTCTTTCATTGACCATTAACTCCCCTGTCCCTCAGTTTTCCTGCATGTAACATTGGAATAATGACCATATTGCAAAGGTAGGTTAACACAGAAGATGACAAGGTCCAGCCTCTCCTAGGAGATACACCTGTAGACATGTACATGAAGGAGCTTGCGGGCTTGGTTAATTGAGATGGAAGGCCATGCTGTTGTATGGGCAGCATCATTCTGTAGGGTGGGGTCCTGGGCTAAATAAAGTGTAGAAATTGAACGGAACAGCAGCACTGGTCTTTCCATGCTTTCTAATGTGACCAGCTACTGTGGCTCTGCCACTATGGACCATGCCCTTTCTTAAGTTGCTTTTGTTGGGGATTTTGTCACAATGAAAAAAAATATTACCAAGAAATACACTTGGTATTTGGTAAGTCATTTGTTGCTAAGTGCGTGGTCTTTAAGTCCTTGAGATGGGCTTCACTCATGTGCACCCTCCACAGCGGCTGAGCCACATGTTAGAACCCAGATAACCCAGGATAGTGAAAAGCAGCAGCTGCCCTCCCATGTGGTGTAAAACATCCACCGCCCCCCCCCATGTGCTTTGGGCCGATGTGTTCGCTCTTCTTTCATTGTAGTACACCTGGTGGACATCTGGAACGTCATCGAAGCATTGCGGGAAAACGCTTTAAACAACCTGGACCCAAACATAGAACTCAACGTGGCCCGCCTGGAGGCTGTGCTCTCCACCATTTTTTACCAGCTCAACAAACGGATGCCAACCACTCACCAAATCCACGTGGAGCAGTCCATCAGTCTCCTGCTGAACTTCCTGCTCGCAGCCTTTGACCCGTGAGCCCCCGTGACTGTCACTTGCTCTCTCTGTGTTTGAGTTCTGTTTCCTTTTGTGCCTTTCTTGGTCATTTTCCCAAATGATAGTCTAGATTCATTACATTTTTTTCTTCATCATATGTTACGTTCATGAGTAAAACTTTCAAAGCTGTAGAGACCAGAGAGTAAACTAACACACGGGAGTGAGAAAACAGCTATATCTTATGAGAAAACCTTGATTTACCCATCATGTCACATGTAACAGTTTGTATGAGTGCTCCAGAATGTGGTGTGATGGCTTGCATGCAGTGTGAGTTGTTAAGGCGCAGAGAGGGAGGACGTGTCTAACCTGATTCTTTGTAATTTAACCTAGATGGTGGTTTCTGGAGTATCATAACAGCCCCTACCTAACAGGAGAGAAGTCGAAGAGGTTCTTGGCTAGCCTAGAAAAGGAGCAATGACTGGTGTCACGTGAACTACTCAGTTGTGTGACACAACGGTGCACCCCGTCATGCCCCACAACTGAACTGTAGCCTCTTTATCATGTAACTCCCCCTCATAGAGTCAGAGAGCCTCAGAGCTGGCTGACATCTTGAAGAGTATTCACACAAATCTCATTTCACAGATGAAGAGCCTGAAACACAAAGAGATTGTCACTTATGCAGTTCTCAGTGGCATGTCAGTGGAGGACCGGGGACTTGGGTATTCTGCTAAGGTCTCTCTTTCCAACATGTATATGACAGCCATATGACATGTGAAAACTTCAGGAATTACCTGATCAGCCTGGAATTTCAAAAGGGCTTTTACCCTCAATCCCTAGTGTTGACATCTCTACCTATCTTAGCTTTTGCCATGTTTTGAATATTAAAAAGGGAAAGTGCAAAGCTGACCTTTACACAGCCATATTTTAACTCTAAAGATTTTTCTTAGTCCCCTGACCAAGTAGACATGTACCATAGCAATGGGGGCATTCCAGCCATGCTAATGGCTTTGTCCTACTCACGGAAGTCACCAGCTGTCACTTTGGAACCTAGAATTGTAATGAAATTGTTCCTGCTCGGTTTGATCAGCATATATTATTGTATCCGTGATGACTAAATTGTGAGAAATTTCCAAGTTGAAAACAAATGCTTTTAAGGTCAACTGACCAAAAAGACAGATTTCTTTCCTTGTGCATATTTCAGAACCAGATGATCTGCTCTGGTCTGACCACTGCGAAAGCTAGGAAGGGACAGTGAGAGAGGACTCTGGTTCCACATTGCAGATGATGACTTGAATTGGATCATGGAATTTCTGTAACAGAATTCCCATTCTGACCCCTTAACAAGAATACAATGAAGTTCAAACTTGCCCCTAAAGGCTGAGTGGGACCATTTGTTTTAAATGTGTGTTATCCAGCATCCCATTGCTATGTCAAAATTGAGATAAGTGACTTCCTGAGGGGGAAGTTTTGGCTCACAGTTTCTGTGGCTTTGATCCATGTTTACTTGGCACCATTGCCTTGGGGCCTATGGGTAAAGGCAGTATACCAGAAGATGTCTGTTCACTTGTGATGTCAGGGAAGCCTGGAGAAGGCACTGGGGTTCCAGTATTCCTTTTAAGGGTTCATGTTCCATGACCTAAGTTTCACCCATTCTACTTCTAAAGATTCCATTTCCTAAGAGTGTCACAGTCTGCCAACCTAGCCTTTAGTATATGAATGGGGTGGGGGACTCTAAATCACAGCCAAATGTGTTCATAGAAAATACTAAAATAACTATGGGACTGGAGATATATCTTAGTGGTTAAGAGAACTTGCCACTTTTGCAGAGGACTCAGGTTCAGTTCCTAGAACCCACATTATAACTGCAATTCCAAGACTTCCAACACCCTCCATGGGCACCAGGCACACACATCATACACATATATAAATGCAGGCAAATTACTCACAAGCATATTTTTAAAAGAAATATCATTCCTTCTAAGTTCTAAAATATTTCAGGAAATGCATAAAGAATCAAAGTTAGAACACAATTTGTTCCCCATTCTATAAATATAGAAACAGGACCAGATTAGTAATAATTGTCTTATGAAATACATGGTATTCAACTCATAGGGTTAGAAGTTTCCCATTTGTTTAGAAACAACAGTTAGATTATTTTATATAGCAAAGCTGTGTGTTCCCTAAATAGCTACTGATACTATTGCAGTATTATTTCAAGGCCAGATGGGTTCTAAATTGACTACTATCCTTTGGTAAGAAGTCATTCACAAAATTGCAGAGAAAAGTGCTTTTCACTAACTCTTCCTATAGTTCAGAAGCCCCTGGGTATTTGATTAGTCCCTACTGAAGGAGATTTGTAAACATATGCAACTGGCACTCTGTTCTGGAAGCATCCGTGCTTTCTCTCCCCTGGAATAGAACATCTATGTGGGATGTTTTACTGGCACCCAGGCTTTTCCATCTGATAGTTTTTGGAATTTCAGCAAGAAACACAAGCCATCAGGAAGTTCTGTTCACTACAAAAGCATCTTAAGTGAGTATAAGAAGAGAAACCAAAGAATGAAATAAATGTTCATTTCTATTTCTTATAATAGTAAACTTATGCTTACCCAAATGAGCTCCAATATGGAGACATGATGTCACTTCCTGCCACCCACTATAGAGCCTGTGTTTAAAGCAACGTGTTCTATTTTGACAGATAGAATGAGCCTGGTGCTGGTAAAACAAAGACATTCAGTTGCTGTCCTATATTTGCTGACATCTCTCAGGAGCTGCCTCCCATTAAATGAACATATTTTTAAATTGGAAAATCAAATAAGAAAATTCAAAGTTACCTTGAGACCCTACACTCTGAAGAGTTCACATCTTTAAAAATAGGAAAGGGGAGACAGGAGAACAATTACAAGCATGTACAATGAATTTACATTCAGAGAAATGTGCTCATTCTTTTGGCAGTGCCTTAAAATTCACCAGACTCGGCCATTTGGACTCTGAAATTAGCACTAAAGCCCACTTAAATTGGCTGTATCCTAGGAAACTACATTTACCTTCCTACAACCATAGTTCCCTTAGAATATCATTTCCCCCCACAGCCCAAATATCTAGATAGGAGTTTTCATGTAGTGCACTTACCACAGACAACAACCAGCTCTGTAGCCACAAGACATCTCTTCAACATCCAGGCCTTCCTCATAAAAAATAATGGTACCTACACAGGACAACTTGCATGTCAGGACTCACTGGCCGAGTCCCACACTTGCCACTCTTGTCACTGAGGAGATGAGCCCTTGAGTCTAAAGAAATTCTACTCTTCTTGACTTTCCATCTCAAAATGGCTGTTTCCCTGGGAAACTCCTAAACAGAATTGTCCATGGCTGCCATCTTACTTTCCTAGAGTCTCTACAGAAATGGAAGGACAGTCCTGGAAAGAACGGGAAAAGATGTGTCAAAAGATGAAAACAGGTTGTGAGGGAAGGGGACATATTAAGATGGAGCCAAAGCTTGAACAAGGCGCTTCTTTCTTCTTTCTTCTTTCTGCAAACCCTCAGGAGGTGGTCTGCCACCTGCTCTCTGCTGTCAGGAGCAGTCACCTGTCACATTCTCCTTCCGAGTTCACCATCAAATGCCAACTGACTATCACAGTCACCGTTTGTTCATATCCCGATTGAGGAAATCCCTTCAAAGAGCTTAAAGGATATTTGCTGCTGCCACTATAGTTTTATACTAGGGTACAGTAAAGCAAAAGAAAATAATGTGGCTAAAGTTTAAGGTGAAGATAATTCTTAGGTTTCTAAGACATCCAGCCGTGATGGAGGGTCACTGGTTCTGTGCAGTCCTTGGCCTTTCCCACTCAAGCTGATCATCATTCTCCGGTCCTTCTGTTCATAGAACACAATTCTCCGACTCTCTCACAAGCATGTTTAACTGCTCATTCGACCATCTCCCACAGGATGCTACAGGGTGGATCTATAACCCATTCTCCTTCTCATAAATAGCCCCTGAGACCATACACCACATGGCGATGAGTCGAGTGAAAGTCAAAGGCTGGCCTCTCTTAGATTGTGCCATCTCCTTTCCTCCTTTCATTGTAGATTTGATGTCTAATTGCCATCCCTCTACTCTAGAAATAGCAAATAGCAAATGCTATGATCACAGAGTCATACCCTATGTACTGTGTGTTACTGGCTATTGATATGGATAATTGTGGGGTTTTTTTCCTTAATGCTCCAATATGCTTCTCTTATTTTCTTCTTACTTTCCCTGAAAAAATACTAATAGCAACTCAATCATAATATACTTAGCTCTCAATCCAGTCCTACATTTCCCCCTTAAGATGCTTTCTCGAAGTTAGTTATATGACAGTTGCCTGTTTTTTTTTTAAACAGACTTAATTCACTTTATTTTTCTTGTATAACACCCCTTATGTGGTGGCAACAGCTGGAGCTTGGGTCCTCTGAAAAGAGACTCTGATATGGGCTTTCACAAGATGGTCAGTGAATTCCTGATAAGGAGACTTGGTGAACACAGTCTCTTTCCAGAAGTCAGGGGTCAGGTAGCTGTAGGTCTTAGAGATAGCATCAAAGGTGGCCTTGGCAAAGTTGCCCAGGGTGGCAGTGCAGCCCCTGGCTGCTCTGTAGTAGTCATCAATACCGGCCATCATCAGTAGCTTCTTGGGCACAGGAGCAGAGATGATGCCAGTGCCTCTGGGGGCAGGGATGAGACGCACCAACACAGAGCCACAGCAGCCTGTCACTTTACATGGAACAGTGTGGGGCTTGCCAATCGTGTTCCCCCAGTAGCCTCTCCTCACAGGGACAATGGAAAGCTTGGCCAAGATGATGGCCCCTCAGATAGCTGTGGCTACCTCCTTGGAGTACTTAATACCAAGACCAACATGACCGTTGTAGTCACCAATAGCGACAAAAGCCTTAAACACCAAGACCAACATGACTGTTGTAGTCCTCAATAGTGACAAAAAACTTGAACCTGGTCCACTGGCCAGCCCTTATCTGTTTCTGTACTGGCATGATCTTTAGAA